ACTTTCAAAAATAAGGAATTTGTAAAAAAAAAGTTTCAAAAATAAATGTGACTACCTAATAACAATTTTGTGACTTATTAATTAATTATACATATCAAAGTCACACTAACACACAATTTATGGTCATGATCACGTGCAATCACATATTTACAGATCACAAAGACAAATTGTGACCCACAATTAGAAATTTAGTCACAAATCACACAAATTTTTAGTTCATATATTATTTATTGGTCACAATCACCAAATAATTGTCACAAACGCTCTTCATCCCACTCCACCACCGGTAACACCTAAACGCCGCACCACTTCACCACCACCACCACCACCGACACCACTTAACCACCACCATTACCATCTCACCACTACCACCACCATGCAGATCTATTCACCGCAAACCACCACCACACAAACATTTGCACCCCAAAACATCCATCGTACTACCACCAGTGCGTAGTTGACTAGTGTGAACAAATCTTGAGTTTCATAATCGAATTTGGTTCGAGGTGTAAGAGATCTTGTTGGAGGAAAAGATCTAGTTCGTCGTCACTTTCTCCCCGATATCACCATCTAGACCAGCTATTTTAACCTCTCCATCAAGCCATAGCAACGTGATATCTCGCAAGGCCACCTCTCCATCACTTTCTCTGACAAGTTATGGAAACATTCAATCTCACGGACCCACCTCCCCCTCCCCCTCCGGCAAGCCATAGCAATATCCCATTTCTCGAAGCACCTCTCCTTTCGCCTTCCAGCAAGCAAAAAAAAATCGGATATCCAGACAACATCCACTAGCAGTCGGGTTCCTAGGATGCCGTATTTAGGGGGGGTGTGTGTGTGTGTGAGAGAGAGAGAGAGAGAGAGAGATGTGAGAGAAGAAGGCGGTGGCTGATTTTCGATAATGTTAGCCAGACTTGGTAGGTGGCGATCGGGGTTGGTAGGTGTCATACATAGAGAGAACAAAGAGGAAGATTCCATGGGGTGGGGGGTGGGGCGGGGTGGGGTCACAGATATTGGTGTGAGGCAATGTGGATGTGGGGGTGTGGTGTGGTGTGATGCACCTGATTTTCAAAAGAAAAAATTATATAAATGAGAAGTTGAAAAATAGATGTACGCGTAATTTCTTCTAAAATTAGATTGGTATAGCCTGGAATTCATGATGGGTTGTGAGCCTACATTACGGGCCCAACATCTAGTTAGCTAGTGAGCTATAAATAAAATTTTATTAACAATGCCATCGGATGGACGCACACGGCACAACGGTACCAATTTCTAGCCTAGGAGTAGATTCTTAATAATATTAGTAGTTAAGCATGTGGTTCCAAATATTTCTTTAACAATTTTTTATATTATGTGTTTAAATTTAAATTACAAAATTTAGCTCCGAACCTCCCATATCCACTCTATACCAAATGAGAGATTATAAGAGTGAAAATTGCATGAAATTGTCTCACAAGGTCTATTAAGATTCAAAAATTTGTTTGAAACTCGTCAATGAAATACTACATATAAATTAAAAGGGTATTAAACCACCATTTTAGTGTAAAGAATTTTCGTCAATGATGAGATAGAATTTTCGTCAATGAGAAATTGTTTTGTTAACCATTCTTTTGATTGATTATTGTTCCTCGAAAAGGTCCCTTCAGATTTTTTTCCAAGTCCTCAAATTGTTTTAAATGTTCTCTGAGAGCATAAATTGCTCAGATGTTTCTTCACATCAAGGTCGATTAATAGTCAAATCCAATGACGAGGAAGCATAGAGAAGCATGTTTAAACTTCTTTTAAAGGTATTAAGAAATATTTGTACATGGGAGGGTCACAAAACTCTTATAGAAATATAACATTCTCACGTCACGTCATATCTGAATGTTCTTAGGGATTAAGGTTACAATGACACATCATATAACACATCTCGTATTCCTTATCTGACTTCGCTTTCCATATATGATGCCAATAAGCTGATATCTTTATTACTCTTGTTTAACCTCTAAATCTTTCTTAAAAATTAAGTTAAAGTATAGATGGCGTTGAAGTAGTAGTTTTAGTAGTAATGTATACAAAAGTAAGCATGAGAAGAACGGTGGATGAATCTGAAACCATGACCCTCCTTTATGCATGGATAATGTTCTTGTTTTCTCGTAATCCTAAAGGTCATGACCATGATGCCTCCCTATTATCTTTTTTAATTAGTGCCTCAGCTCTCAACGTTTCAAGGACATGGAAAGGCAGTGGACTTGGTGGGCAACACGTGCGGGGGAAAGATACATAATTACAAGAATTTCAAAATACACTTTCAAAAATAAGAAATTTGTAAAAAAAAAAGTTTCAAAATAAATGTGACTACCTGATAACAATTTTGTGACTTTTTAATTAATTATACATATCAAAGTCACACTAATACGCAATTTATGGTCACGATCACGTGCAATCACACATTTATAGATTACACAAACAAATTGTGAGCCACAATTAGAAATTTAGTCGCAAATTACATAAAATTTTAGGTCACATATTATTTATCGTTCACAATCACCAAATAATTGTCACAAACGCTCTTCATCCCACTCCACCACCTGTACCACCTAAACGTCGTACCACTTCACCACCACCATTGACACCACCCAAATGTCGCACCACTTAACCACCACCATTACCATCTCACCACTACCACCACCAGGGGGGACGCAGAAGTTTAAAGTTAGGGGAGCACAATCGAACTTGAAAAGAAGTTGGAAAAAATTTTACAATAAAAAATTTACGTCCAAAAAATCATGCCCAATGTAATTTTGCATCCGAAAATTTACATGGGATATAACTTTTTCGAATGTAAAATTTTGAAATTTTTTGATGTCATATTCCATTTAAAATTTCTTAAAAATAATAAATGTTAATGAAACAATTGATTTTTTTTTTAAATGCAAGTTAAACGTCTTTCTTTAAGACTCGCGTCTAACGTATTTTTAACTATTTTCGATATCTGATTGGATTGTTTGATATGTCGATAATGTAGTTCTCGAAATAAGTTTTGAGAAGATATAAGCAATTTGTAGATTCGATTAGCGTACGATCATCGGAGAATTTTTAAAATTAGCATGTTATTGAAATTCAAATTTATTGTGATTTTGCCCCAATTTGGTGGAGATTAAAATCAAATTTTTAGTAAATTTT